AGAGAAGTAATGTGCAACCTTCTTCGTGGTCATATAAATCCCATATACAAGCTTCTGGTAATGAGGATATCTTTGCTTTGAAGGAGTCAAAACTTCAGAAACATAATATACTGGGCGCTGAACTTTGAAGGCCTTTCCTTCTTCTACCCGCTCGACCGTAAGTACTGTACTGACAACTTGTCCTGTGGCTGCCATGTAAAGCAGCAAAGATCTAGCCTCTCCATACATACCCCCCTACATCACTGTCAGAGTTAGGACCACGACAGGAGTGACAGAGGGAACACCATTCTCCACAACATACCAGAGATCGTTATCAATTGCCTCAAGATGCATGCGCATCTTATTCTTCCAGTAGGGGTAGTCCGTCCCATCGAAGGTAGGACACCCAACAGAAACCTTGATCATACCTGCGGTCGACATAACTAAAACTCCGGGCGGTTAAACCAAAATCACACAGAACAAGGGAGCACATTGCTCTGATACCAATTGAAAGTGCGTTATATCGACTAGAGAGGGGTGAATAGGCGATTTTTATGAATTCTTCACTTAGGAATTTAAGGGTGAGGAAATTCCTGAGTGAAAAACTACTTGCAGCGAAATAAGTACTTAGAAGTAAACATAACAAAGCATGATCATGGTCTTCATAAAGAAATGAAAACAAGCACAGAGTACAGAAAGCATAAACACAGGATAACACAGGATAAGACAAACAGACTGAAGAAATTAAACTGAGGAAATAGAGAAAGTCTTCAGTCAAAGTCTTCAAACATATATGAACAAGCACACAACACAGATAAGAGGAGATGGAAGGGTTGAGGAAATGGAACCAGTTAGCTCGGTGAAGACAATGATTTGGTAGACCAGTTCTAACTGTTGTGACAATTGTACGTCTGGTTAGGGCAGCTAGGTATTTAAACCTGAGGACACACAGTCCCGGACACCCAGTCCTGAACACGCAGCTCAGGACACTTAGTCCTCACCGTATTCCCCTTGAGCTAAGGTCACACAAACCTCGCCTAATCACTCATGGTAAGTCTTCAGGTGACTTCCAAACCTTCACAGACTCGGTCACTCGGCGATCCAAAATTTCCTCTTGGATGCTCTAGACCATGACGCCTAACCGTCTGGAAGATGCACAATCTTCAAAGGTAACAAGCGTCAGATCCACGCAAGATCAATCTCTTCAGTGATGCTCAATCACTTGGGGTTTGTAGGTGTTTGGGTTTGGGTTTTTCTCACTTGATGATTTTCACTCAAAGTCCTCGGAGGATGGAATGCTCTCAAATGACAAGTGTCAGTTTCTCTCGGAGCAGCCAACCAACTAGTGGTTCTTGGGGGCGGCTATTTATAGCCTAGGGAACAGCCTGACATGTAAGACATAAATGCCCTTCAATGATATGACCGTTAGGTGGGTAGATATTTTGGAACAGCTGGCGCATAACACGGCAACGGTCGGAATTTTGAGTATCAAATTCCTCAGGGCTATCATGTTCCTCACTATGTAGGCAATCCGCAGTGGCGAATTCCTAACTCCTCAGTCAGAACAAATTCCTCGGAGACCAGAAGAACTTCATCTCTGTCACTGAAGAAATTGACTGAACTGTATGAGATTTCCAATGGCTTCACTCGAAGGGATTGGTAGGTGTAGGATTTTGAGTTGAGCATCACTTGGAAAATTTTCCTTAGTATTTCCTCGACCCCCTTTAACAGTACGGTGTTTCCTATGACTCAAGAAGGAGAAAGTGAAACTACGAAAATAAAAGTCTTTATGCTTCATGTTCCTCGAATGAATACCAAGTCTTCAGGATTACACCAATTTCTTCACTTTCAAAGTCTTCAGAAAGTGTTCAGAAATCCAAGGTCTTCAGTCAAAGAACTTCATTTTTAGGGGTCGACTTTCTCTGTAAATATCAAACTCCTCTTATACTTATAGACATGTGCACACTCACAAACGTATCAGTCCCTTAACCTATAAGTCTTCAATAGACCAAAATCACTAAGGGGCGCTAGATGCACTTACAGAGAGGTATGTGACTGCCTTGCCAGCGCAAAGGAGATATGAGGAGCTACAGGAGGTTGCAGGGTGCAGCCTAGGGGGTGAGATTGACTAGAAGGAGGGGACACATTCGGTGGCATAGTGCTACACAAGTCTCGTGAGATCTACAAGACCAATTGACTAGGTTGCTCAAAAATTGCAACGAGAAGCATCCCCGGTAATGATCTCCCATGTTGCGCATCGGTACAACGGAATCGGGATGTCAACGACGTTTAGATCATGAAAACAGAAAACTACAATGACCGAACTGTCTGAGAGGGAAGAAAAATCACACAGTTATAATGTCTCTAAATGCATTTTTCACAGACCTGCTTGCATCCATAATGATGGTTTTCTATGTTGGATGTGAAAGTTGGCTAGATTTTCACAATGAGTAAAAACATTCGTGGATGGTCTTTACGGAACTAGGTAAGCATGAGTTGAAATGTCCGAATGATTGTAAATTACATAAAATCTCCACTCCTTCATCCATACCATATGTGGTTTCTTTCTTTGTGTACTGCCACCACCTGGCTAGCAGAGTCACCATGTATAAAACAACATAAGACACTACGTCTTTTCTAGGGTTTGCTATAGAGGAGGCGACCATGAGGCACCTAGTTTGTCCCAATGACACATTGGTACCGCCGCGGGTTCCCGTATCCTTCTCCAGCCACTACAGCGACGCGAGGATGGGGAACCTCGGATCTTAGTGTCCTGGTTCGTGTTTCGTAGGGATTTGAGTTCTACGTTGCCGAAGAGATTGGGGTAGCGGCCGCGATAGGAATAACGGTTCGTTGACTTTCCCCATGTTGACGTCCCTCCTCGGAGTGGCGTTGATGATCCGAGGATGACATTAACCATCGCGCACTCGATGTGGCGTGATTGGCATTTGTTCAACGGTGGTATCATGCGGAGAGATTGGCGTTGCAGCGTATTTTTATTCTCCAATTTCATTTCTGCTTGAAAGCTCAGCCGTGTACGACTCCATCGGGGAACCTGTGAGTTTTGTGTCTCCAACTCTATGTGGCGGGGTTGGGATTATCTCTTGCCCTCTTCGGTGTCGGCTTCTTCGGGCCGACGATCTATCCAGTTCACGGTCGCCAACGTCTTCTAGTCTACATTGACAACCTCCCGTCCACTGCTTCTACAAGCTCTTGGATTTTAACAAGTTTGCTAGTGAGACGGAGGTCCATAGGCGACAATGATGTTTGCTCATGGTGCGCCGCTGGTGGAAGCACAAGGAAGACGGTGTTGATTTCTTCGAGATCATATTTATTCCTTACCATTGTAACGAAGTTCTTATCAAAAGCTGATTTTTATTTAATATATGGCCTTCAGCCTTTAAAAAAAACATGTGTGCAATGTTATGAGTCATAAACATGGACTGTATGGAGTACAATTTTTTAGAGGCAATTTTGTGCCGTGAAAATGTCACATGGTAACATGAAGAGTCAGCTTGTGCCCTTCTCATTTTTAAGGGAGATTGGCATTCTGTGTATAGATAACAGAGTAAGTTTTTTCTTTTCATTTTCACTTGGTCTACTTAGTGGGATGGGTAAATAATTTTTTTTTTGCGGGATAAACTTTCGATCTATTCATTTTCAATCATGGTAGTATAATGAACACTGAAAATAATAAAAAATACATTCAAATTTGTAGACCATCTAAAGACAACTACAAACACTGAAGCGACCCGAAGGCGCGTCGCTGTCATTGCCCCTCCCTTGCCGGAGCCGAGCAAACCTTCTTGTAGTAGACAGTCGGGAAGTCGTCATGCTAAGACCTCATAAAACCAATGCATCAGAATAGCAACTGCCGCCGATGAAGAGTGTAGATAAGAAGGATCCAACCTAGACACACAAACAAAGACGAACGACGAACAAATCCGAGCAAATCCACTGAAAACAGATCCACTAAAGACACACCTCCACACGCCCAATATGAAGCACACACATCCTAATTAACATCGTGTTGGATTATTTTTATCAATCTCCATGAACTTCTCTATCAGGCTTGTTTGGATGAGAAGCATTACTTTTGGGACTTTTCTCGTTTGTTTCAAAATTTGAACGATGCCGAAAGACCCTGATCTGAACAGCCCCATAGCAACGATGTGGATCTTTTATACGTGCAATGCACGTTTATATTAAGTAAGATATATCTGTTGCATATTGATATTTGGTAAGATATCAATTATTTCTTCACGAGAATGATAGGATAGTAATTACATGGCAGATTTCAAGGGATAGCGTTGAGTCAAAACGTGTTTACAACCAATGACAGTGGTGGGTAATTAGAGCGTTAAACGTGTTTGGTGCTCAACATTGGAGCGATTTGAACCGCTAGATAACATGATTTAACGGTCGAGATGGTTTAGATCTGTCCATTTGGGTCTTTTTATATTGGTATAGATAGATATAGATGAAAATACTCATATCTTCTTTCTTAGTTGTGTCACTATATCCAACACAAAGTAGGCCACACAACACAATGATACTAGGTAATATCCTGTTCGTTGTTGCATAAATCGATTGCAAGATAGTTGATCGTATTTGATCATTGTATAGTTGTAAAATATTTAATAAATATAAAATAGTATAATAATTTATGCATGGTTGTATGTTTGTATGTTGAGGTGAGTATTTTTCTATACATGGTTTATTTTCTTTCGGCACTTCAAATTGCCTGACATATTTTCATCGTGGTTATCTATTGACACAAACGGAAATGACCATTGGGCTTATCCATGGTTGAATTTTGTATTGTCTAGACAAATCTAAGACAAGCTTTTTGGGACGAAGGGAGTACTACATAACAATTTCAAAACTTACCATGTGAATTCAGAGAAACGACACACCAAGAAGTGCATGCATCACTGAATGAAACCACTTAGTTTCAAAACCTGAACGATGTCTTCATCATTTAGCTGTACAATTCAAGATACCCAAATCTTTCAGCGTGCTCAAGGTCCACGTGGAGTGTGTGGTGGTAGCTGAAGCTCTTCAGCACTCTTCTCCAGCATCTCGAGCACTCTGGTCATGGAAGGCCGGTCCGAAGGGGAGATTTGCACGCACCACAGCCCGACCACCACCATCTTCCTCACCAGTCCGGTAGCCTTGCCATCGCTATCATCGATGGCGCAAGCTCTTGCACAGAACTGATCTAAGCCTTCATATAAACACTGGGGGAAATACTTGCTGCTGCTGCTTGCCTCTGAATCAGTGAAATCGTCGTCATCCATGCTCCTCCTAGCCCCAGATATCTCAAGAACCATCATGCCATAGCTGTAGACGTCGGACTTGCTGGTGACTGCCCCTACTCCCCTGGAGAACACCTCAGGCGCGATGTACCCGATCGTGCCCCGAGCTCCTGCAATGGACACCGCGATTGTGCTCTCTTTTTGGGAGCACAGCTTGGCCAGTCCGAAGTCGGAGATCTTAGGCCGGAGGTCCCGGTCCAGGAGGATGTTGTGAGGCTTGATGTCAAAATGCACAATGTGCGCGTTGCAACCTCTGTGCAGGTACTCGAGGCCTCGCGCAATGCCGACAGCAATGTCGAACAGTGTCTCCCAGCCAAGTGAGTTGTGCTCAGTGCCTCTCCCAGAAGTGTATCTTTCAAGGGAGCCATTCGGCATGAACTCATAGATGAGTCCCCTTTTAGATCTACCCTGCAAGCAGAATCCCAGCAGCGTGACGACGTTGACATGGGAGGTCCTGCTGATGCTGGCGACCTCAGTCATGAAATCCTCGCCATCGACGTCCCTGTTGTCCTTGAGCATCTTCACGGCAATCTCACGGCCATCCGGGAGTCTGCCTTTGTAGACCACACCGTTGCCGCCGTGGCCAAGTTTGTGCGAGAAAGATTTCGTCATCCGTTTCACTTGCGAGTAGCTGTACCTCCTCGGATGTTGCCGCCGCAGGAAGGATTCAATCGTCGGTGTGTCCCTCTTCCAGGGCATGGGAGGAAGTGAGCCATGAAACTTCTTCTTGTAATACAGAAATGCTCCCAGAAGACAGAGGCACAGCAGCGCCAATGCATTCAGGGTCCCCGCAAGTATGTATGTTCTAGCCTTCTTCCTCCCTGAGGGAGTCCCTGATTCAGACGCCGGAGGAGGAGGTAGCAGGGGTGCCATGGACGGCGGCATGCTGGGGATGAAGGCCATGAACTCATAGCGCAGGTAGCAGCTGGGCCCGTTTAGACGGACACCGTCCATGTCGGCGCAGCATCCGGCGAGCCAGACCATGTGCGATGCCAGGCACCGGCTGCACTCCTCGGCGGGCAGGTCCTCCGTGCATTGCGCCAGCCCATGCAGCGTCATGTTCGGTGTGACCTCCTTGGCATCAAAGGCAAACCGGAGCGTCGAGGCCGCCGCGGCGGGGAGCATCCGCCCGGCCAGCCTCTGACGCGCCGCACCCAGGCTCACTGGATCTGAGAAGTTGTGGGGGTTGGGCACGTCGAACCGCCGCGCCGGTGACGTGTCCGCGGTGCCGAAGAAGGGGGTGTCATCGTAGCGCACGAGGCAGTGCCCGTACCAGAGGACAATGTCCCTGCGGCCTGCGCACCGGATCCCGGGCAACTCGGCTGCCGCGCCAGCGAGACAGGCAGAGCAGTCGGACCGCTCCGCGTCGGTGAAGCACATGGCGAGCCCAAAGACCGTGTCCGCCGCGTCGCTGGCGCCAGTGGTGAAAGTGGAGTTCAGGAAGCTGGCGTCCGTGGCGGCCATGTGTTGGAGAGAGGCCTGGAGCCGGAGGAGGTTGGCCTCGAAGCCGGCGCTACGGTTTGAGGTGGCTGCAGTAGAGGTGGAGCAGTCAGGGCAGGCGTACCTGCCATTGGCCTTGGTCCCGCAGATGTTGGGGAGCTGGGAGAACACTTGTGGGAGGAAGACGACGACGGTGAAGAGGAAGAGGCGCCGATGAGGCAAAGCCATGGTACTGCAACTGCAGAGGATGGCATCCACGTCAGAACTGATGAATCTTGCTTCAAGACTGTAATGCAATGCAATGCAAATTATTCATGCAAGGAGAATTGCCAAGGGAAAAAGTTGGGGATTAGTAGCAGGGAGTCAAGATGAAGTCTTCCCCGCTGGAGAGACTAGGACAGGCACCGGCCGGCAAGAAGCAAGTTGCATGGTGGAGCAAGCTGTACTGAGTGCATCAGCCAACGCCACACAAATCCATTTGTCTCCACAGCAGCAGGTCAAAGAAGATGGCTGACTAGGTAGCAAAGGTCCTATCTACTGCTATTCCACCACAAAACTGATTTATACGGCATCTTATTAATAATATCTCTTTCTCTCTCCACATATTCTAGGTGTATAATTAAAAGTTGAATGCAAAAAAAAACTAGGAGCTGTATGGTGGTTGCAGTGATAGTCTCTGAAGCTTCAACAAGTGCAAACACAGATGTACATTGCACTTAAACTTAGCTAATGAATTGACATTGTAGACCAAAGTAAGAATGAGAACTGAAATAACGGCACTTCTGAAGTCCTGGGATATTTTCAGTTCTATTAAAGTAAATTAATGTGATTATAAGATGATATAACATAGTAAAATACAATTTATCTTAGCTCTGTTGCTGTGAAACAAATAAGATGCAGAGGAAATAATTTTATCACAACAGCAGATTCCAAGGAAGAAAAGCCAGCCACATACCTGGTCCAAAGTGCAAGTAGAGCTATGCCCTAAACTTATAGAACATAAAAGGAACCCAGCCATAGCACATTTCTCATGATCAACGTGTAGATGGGGAAGATCCGAAGTGCAGGTAGAGTTACAAAGAAACCTCTCCTGAAACTCGCAAAATGCCACCCTACAACTTTGTATAAGTTTTCTTTTTGAGGTGCAACTTTGTATAAGTTATGACACAGAACTGATGTCATGTCAAGTTGTTTATGCAAAAGAAAAGTACGTATTAGCAATGCAACAAACAAAGGAAGTTCTTTTTTGATAGTTAGCAGTCCATCACAACCCACACTGGAACCTGGGCCAATAGATATACACAGACCTCAGGAATCTGGTGCAGGGAAGCAGTGCAGAGTGAAGTGCAGAAAGACAACAGAGAAGATAACACTGTTATCTTTCATACTGCAGGAACCATACTACTTTTTCCAGGTTCTCATTTCTCAGTAGGGACATTCTTCTTGCATATAGTGAAGTCCTAAAAGAAGAGGTGACAGATGCAAAACAAGTTAGCCAACTAAAAAGGAAAATGGAGTGCCAAAGCTAGATTTGTTTCTTCAAATGTAGATAAAGTACTGACAAGCCAGTCGCATAATCAAAGGTTTGCTACTCCATAATAACTCAAACAAAAAGACGTTAACACCAAATCAAAGTTCTCAACTAATGCAACTAGCCTCATTCATTGTGCTACTTTGTAAGAACTTACTCCCTCTGTCCCAAAATATAAGAACGTTTTCGACACTAGTATAGTGTAAAAAACGTTCTTATATTTTGGGACGGAGGGAGTATATTTGAAGTCCTTGACAACATTGCAACTTATAGAAAAACGGCCAACAGACTTCATATCTGATAAAGGGTTATTTCTTTGGATTATATAACAAACAGTAGGATGGATATTTCCCACCAGACAGAAGAATAGAATATATATGCAACACAATAGATCGAACATGACACAGAAATAAAGATGAACGGGTTCCTCTACCTTGTAAGGTAGTGCAACTGCAACAACTTCTAATAGTTATTTCCGTCTTCAATTAATATTTTTATATCTTCATGAAGACCAATAGTTTCATGGGATCAATTCCAGTGGCGTAATAGGCTTTTTACAAACCTTTGATAGGCATCACGGCACAAAACTCAGCCCTCCAGACAAAAGCTTGCCAGTATGGAAAATCAGAACGAGATTTTCCCCCATTATGTATTGCTTACCATTTTGAAACCATGAAGACCAACCTTGAATTTGTGTACACCACTCCTGACAAGGACTAAATTTAAGCAAGACCAGGAGAACCAGGTGTTCCACAATGAACACGATCATGTTTCTTCGTCTCTGAATGATTTACATACATGAAGTGCTCCATATCAAAGTCATCACCTTTGCGTTTTGCAACTCTGTGCTGGCTCATTCAGCATCCAAGTTTGTCTTGTAGAAGAACATCACAGTGAACTCTGACAGTAACAGACAATCACAGATTTCCAGTCAATTCCGAATTTCTCAAAACTGAGCTGTTTTCTTTTTGGCTAACCTGTGCTGTTTTGGAAAAGACCATCTTCTGTCGTATATGAAACTAATACGAGCAAATTCCAACTTGTTTATTCACAGTGAAAGCTACCAGTAGTCTTTGCAAGAGCATTCACCATTTACAAAGTGATGGTAGCGGTTAACATCTCTTATGATGATCTCACGCTGCACAATCTGTGAAATCAGTTTGATAACAACATGACAGTCCTCGCAAACTCGAAGATTCTTAGTCACAAGAAGCTTTGTCCCAGGAGGTGTACTAATGAGCCCAAACGCAATGGCCAACCTCTCACTGTGGCTTCTCACCATATTCCTCTTTTCATCATCATCCACATTGTGGAAAACTGGCATTGTGTCAGGCACGTAGCCAGCATCACTCATGAGACCTTCCAATCTCTCTAGCTCTTCATATATTTCATCTGATCTAGGATGAGATGCATCCCCAACTAGAAATCCATGAGTTTTTCCTTTCAACTCAATCCAACTGCAAGCGAGGATTTTTTTCAGGCCTCTATTGGTCATTAGCTTTCTCACCCTTGCAGCGTTTTCCCATTTCCCAGACTGAGCATAGATATTTGATAGATGGACATAATTACCAGCATCTTCAGGCTCGAGCTCAATCAACTTCTGCAGGGCTAGCTCACCTAGTTCAACATTTTTGTGGATCTTACAACCATTGAGAAGTGCCCCCCATATTCCTGAATCTGGTTTGATAGACATTCCTTTAATAAGGTCATATGCTTCCTCAAACCTACCGGTGTGACCAAGAACATCTACAAGGCAAGTGTAATGCTGCACTGTTGGCTTGATGGAGTACACATCAACCATCAGACCAAAGAACTCTCTTGCTTCTTCTACCATCCCTCCATGGTTGCAGGCAGATAAAACCCCAACAAAAGTGATGTTGTCAGGAGTCACTTGAGCATCTCCCCTCATTTTGTTAAACAGTTCAAGTGCTTCGTCAGCATGGCCATGCATCCCGTATCCACATATCATGGCATTCCAAGAAACAAGTTCCCTCTTCATAAGTTGCTCAAAGAGAACACGAGCCACCTGCACCCACCCACTCTTGGCATACATGTCCAGAAGGGAAGTTTTCAGCTTATCCTGCCGCCCAAATCCCCTCCTCCAACCAAACCCATGCAGCTCTCTCCCTCTAGGCAGAGCAGCGGCATCAGCCGCCGCTGACATTGTACTCACCAGAGTAGCGATTGTGGGCCCAACACCATTAGAAGCCATGTCACGGCACAATGAAAGCGCCTCCATGGGTCGCCCATTCTGCCCATATGCAGCAATCATCGAATTCCACACGACAGCGTCTCTCACCGCGATCCCATCAAACACCGCTCGAGCATCGTCCACACACCCGCACTTGGCGTACATGTCAACAACACCGGCGCACACAAACACATCCTGGCCCCACCGCGTGCCCGAGACGCGCTCGTGCACCTCCCTCCCGGTCTCCAGGTCCAGGAGCGCCGCGCACGCCTTGAGCACCAGCGGGTACGTGAAGTTATCCGGCTCCACGCCGTGCTCCGCCATCCCATAATAGAGCTGCACCGCGGCCTCGTGGGGCCCCTCCCGCGCGTAGGCCCTGATCAGCACGTTCCACAGGAACACGTTCCGCTTGGGCATTCCGTCAAACAGGCGGCGCGCCTGCCCAACATGGCCGCAGGCAGAGTACAGGTCGACGAGCTTGGTGGACAAGACCGTGTCAGGGCCGAGGCCCGAGACGAGGAGCCTGCCATGGAGCTGCCTGCCTGCGCGCAGGGAACCAGCGGCGACGCAGGATTGGAGGATGGAGGTGTAGTGGTGGTAGGAATGAGTGGAAGAAGCGAGGTGGCAGTTGGTGCTTGGAGGTGGCGTTGCTGCAATGGCGGTGGTGGGTGGGAGGGTTGTAGCCCTGCCGAGGAAAGAGGAGATGAGACGACGGAGACGGCGGCGGTGTCCGGCGGGTGACGGCGCGTTTCTCGACTTTGAAAGGATGGAGGGAAGCATCGTCTGCCCGCGGTGGCGGTTAAACCGGCCCCGTGCCTACTTGAGCACGTCACACGTCGATATACCCAAGGAAATCCCTATTTGACGCACCTTGCTTCAAACTGTCGCCGAAATCACTAACTAATTAAGGAATACTCGTTGCAAAAAGCACTCCACTTTCCCAGATCATGATAAGTGGCACACATGCAGCGCGCCACTTGTCGCAACCTGAAAATTTTCCTTTTTTCGTAGATCCGTTTATTCAAAACGTTCTATGTTTTAAACCGTGCGTCCAAATCTTGAATCGTTTTTATCGTTGGATTCCTCGCGTCGAGATCTTCAAAACTAGATCCCATGTTGATAAGTTTTGACGAACTTTTTTTCACGAAAAAAACCGGACGAAAAAAACCG